TCCAGATGAGGGCCATGAAGATGATCAGGGGACTGAAGCTTCTTTCTTCTGAAGAAAGGCCGAAAGACCTGGGTCTCTTTAGCCTGGAGAAAACTGAGAGGGGACCTTATCAACGCTTATAAATATCTGAAAGGAGGGTGTCAAGAGGATGGGGCCAGGCTCTTTTCAGTGTTGCCCAGTGACAGGACAAGGGGCAACAGGCACAAACTGGAGCACAGGAAGTTCCACCTGAACATGAGGAGAAACTTCTTTACTCTGAGGGTGGCAGAGCACTGGAACAGGCTGCTCAGGGAGGCTGTGGAGTCTCCTTCTCTGGAAGGACATGGTCCTGTGGAACCTGCTGTAGGTGATCCTGCTTTATCAGGGGATTAGACTAGATGATCTCCAGAGGTCCCTTCCAACCCCCACCATCCTGTGATTCTGTAATACTGTATTAGGCATTAGTGAGTAGCACATCTATACAAAAACATACAGATAGAGAAACAGAGCAAGGGTGGTTTTGGTTGTGCAGCCATGGTCTTTGTATTGAATGAGCTTGTAATTTTCAGGAGGGGAGATTCAGTCTTGGAAACACGTAATATATATGTTTTGTAGTTACAGCCAAGAGGGTATCAGTATCATACCAATTTCGAGGAGTCCCTATGAAATATAACTGATGATACCAAGAAGTACTGATAGTGCTTATGATCAACCAGTGCAGGGGATCCTGGTATTGACTGGAAACTGCCCCTTAGCTGAGTAATGTGAAATTGAAGTAATCCAGTTTTTTTCACTTTGTTTTGTTAGTCATCATAGAAGGTGATATATATATATATATATATAGCAACAAAAGATCACCAAAATAAAATTTCTTTTGATGACCAAGTAAAGGAGGTCCTGACCGTTCTGTTGAGTTTTGAAATCAAATAGTTTAAAATAAAATAAAATCTGAGTAGGCTTTTCAGTGAAGCTGATACCTGCAATGGTAGTGACTGAAAGTAAGTATTTAAGATTTCATGGATTATCCTTCTCAATCCCCGAAACAGTTCTTATTCAGTGTTCCAGGAAAGAGTTTGAGATGGACTTTCGCTGTCACTGGTTTCTTTGGGGAAAACAGAATAAACAAGGCAGTCACACACATGCCCTTGTTCCAGAATATTCAAGAACTTTTAAATCACAAAGATGGCCTTAAAACCTGTAACTAGGAATAAAACCTCATCTAAGATACATTATGTTTTTCCTTTTTTACTTTTCACCTATTGTCTACACAAATGAAAAACGACACACCACACAGAAATGGGGGATTCTGCTAGGGATCCACATTGATGTTGCTCATGAAAAGAGGAACTGAAGGATGGTTGAGCTTTCATGACGTTAGGAGGGACCAGGTCTCCACTGTACAGCTGGCATATCCTCAAAGGACAGCAATGGTCAGAAAGACTCTGACCTGGTGCACTCAGAGGATAATCCATGCATTCACCCAAAGTGAACCTTTGTATGCTGCTAGCATGAAAGATGGAGGAGCTGGGAGCAAAATTATGAACTTCTCATTCTGTTTCTAGATATAAGAACACAGCAATCTCCAGAAAGCAACTGAAGATTCAGAGCAACTCCTTCAAAGTGTGGAATATTATGCCTTGGATCTGTATCTTGCACAGCCACAAAAGCCTTGCTAGGAATACAGATCCATATCATAGGGTGGGAAGAAGGTATTCTTTCTATTGATGACCTTCTAAAAATGCTGGATTTCTTATTCCTAAGAACCTAATGATGGTAATGAAAATGAGATCTTAGTTCCACCTTCATCACAAAACAGTCAGATAATTTCTTTCTACCTTTTCATAATGCTCTATCAGAATTTCAACGACGATATTCTGAAACTTAATGTTCATCATAGCAGCCACGGTTTCTTCTTGGGCTCTCATCAGAGTTGGTCCAAAGATAACACCAAGGTTGGATACAGTCATTAGATTTTGCTGACTGTGTAATGATACCCTTTAAATGAACACAAACAATAAGCAATTAAATTGTTGTGCTAAACTACAATTCCAACAGGTAAAACCCTGTTAAGACTACTTCTTCAACAGGATCCCAAGTTCATGCCTCCCCTTTAAAAACATTTTTAAAACTTTCACTTTTACTAGAGTCAAAATACAGTGTAGTACAACTATTATAGTCCCACTAAGGCTCCCATCCTGCAATAACTTAATGGATAATGAGTACGTCTTCCTAGAGTAAGTGTTTAAGTTCCTGATATAATTGACAGGGAAAAGCAACTATATTTGAAGGTCTCCAAAGAGAGATCCAGGCTATCTGAAGTTTAGGAGCCTTAGGCTAGGCACTTATCTCTCTCCAATGATTATACAGGAACTTAAAATACTTGATGTTGGATTGACTGAAAATACTATGTGATAACAGAGGTCAACCATATACCTTAGCTTTCATGTAAAGGAAAGAAACGTAGTAACTGAAAACACTTAAATTGCAAGAGGATCTCTTTATTAGTATGTTGAAAACACTGGATCATTTGGGTCAGTGAAATCGTTGTTTCTATAGTATAGATAACACTAGATGATCATAATGACATCTTCTAGCTTTAAAATATATTAAGTTTTTACTTCTGTACATTCTGTTATCACTTACTGTACCTTTTCTGTCATCACTTACTGTACCTTTTCTGTCATTTTTCTTCTTAATGTAGACTTCAGAAACTTAGTTTTTCCATTAATTTATCAGATAGTAAAATGAAAACCATCAATCAGTAATCCTCAATGCCCCTCTTCTCTCTTTATGAATAAGATTTGCCAAATAAAAACCATATCACCATAAATCCTTCGATATAACTGCCAGTGATTCCCCAGTCACAGCTGCCCTATTACCTCATGTCTGAGAAAGATCACGCCAATTAAAGATTTTAAATTGCCTTAATGCTTAATTTTACTGAATCTGCTACCAAATAGAATCAGTTACTGAGGCACTTGTTCACATTTTCTTCTTTCTTCTCACTCCTATCTGCTCCCATTGTCAAGCTGAGCATTTTTAGCCATTTGCTACATAAGTAAATTAACTCTTTCCTGTTTTAAAATTAAGAAACAGTAAAATCTATAAAATACTGGAAGACTAGCAGGTAGGAGCAAACTTTATCTTCTGTTTTTCTCTGACAGCCTTCATTAATCGGGTTTATGGAGACATCTGCTATGTTTTCCTTCCAATAATATTCTCAGATAGCTTAATTTGTTCTTAAAATGTTATACAAACGTTAGCAAAATGACCTATCTGATGTCAGAGTTTGGTAGCAAAGGACACAAATACTATCACCCTAGAAATATTAGAATGGCTTTGACAAAAAAACTGTGAGATTTTCCCGAAGTTACTGGGGAATTTTGTTAGGATCAGGATCAAACCCATGTCTGGAGTCACACATTACCTTTTCTTCAGTCCCACTGTTGAGTAGGCACTAATGACACATAGAATGAGTAGAACAGTAGAATTATCTTGGTATAGAAGTGAGGCAGACTGTACAATTACTTCTATAATGAAGTAATACTCCCCTCATATTTGTAACAGGAACATTTTAGCACCCCATTTACATCGAGAAGCAGAAGAAATATGGGAAAGGGCTTTGTGCTGGAGACAACATGATATAAAGTGCAGGAAAATAAATGTCCATCTTCCTATGTGTTTCCTATGTTGCTTCATTAAGTTACGATAAAAAACTTTCCAAAATTTTACTTCAGACAGACACAATGTCTGAGATCGTTACTTGGAAGCCGTATCATGAAAATGACTACCTTGTTGGAGCACATTTTGAGCCAATTATCTTAATCTAATTTTCTCTGTAACAGATCTTATATTTGGCTTAGGTGACTAAGGGGTGTCTGGAAAGCCCACTGGTATTTTAATGAAAATGGAACTCCAAATTATTCAGCTCTAGGTTTGTTAGAAAAAAGTAAAAAAAAACCCAACCCTTTGCAATGTTACTCTGCCTTATGCTGCACAGTAACTGTTAAGGTCTCTCACACAACCATGACAGTCTTACAGCATCAGAGGGAAAGTAGTGTTTGTCCTGTGTTTGGTTTCCTTGGTTACAAATTTGGTAGCTCGGTTAATAAAAGGAATGGTGAATTTAATAACTTTACAAAGCATTTCAAAGGCTCTATGTCTTGCAAAAGAGAAAAAAAAAAGCAGGCCTGTAAATGGATCATTTTGATAGCCAGTTGCTCCTGACCTAGTCCTACTGTTGCTAGGCTACTGAATAGATACAGGCCAAAGCAGTCGTGCATTTCAGGTAGCTGTGAGATTCATTAAGGTGCCATTGCTTTCTCCTCAAAATCTCTTTTACATCATCAGTAAATTTTTGATACTGCCAGATTGCAGACTCTACTTTAGAAAAGTATGGTGTTATTAAATCATACCAAAGAATGGTTTCTTCTTTAGACAGGTAATTTGACTAGGAAGGTTTAGAAACAAAAAATGAGTTACCTATGTGAAAATTACACTGAACTTCCTATGTTTGCCTAGCTACTGACTAAGTATATACTCATGCAGTAACACCTCTCTGCGGGGTGCTTTTCAGGATTTGCTGGGTTTGTTTGTTTGCAGTATGATCTACATCCCACAACATCTAGATCATATTTAATTTTGCACAGTGACACAAAAGGCAAGGTAGGCAGAGATGTAAAGCCCTTAAGACCTAAACCAAGAAAAAAAATAAATATCCTTGTTTTAGAACACATAGTTAAAGCATTTTCACCTAGATGCAAAAGCATACATAAAAGAATTAAAGAGCTAAAAGAAATATAGGGAAAGGATGTACATTCTGAAATTGGATTTTACACAAAAGAGTGAAGAAACAGGAGATTTTTAATTTTCTTTTCCTGTTTTCTCATTTTCATAAAATTATGCACTTTATCTATCATTTGTTCCTTGAAAAGCCTCCACACAGTGGTAGGAAAAAGGTAAGAAAGGAAGATAACTAATACACTCAAGAGACTAATTTTTAATCCAGTCTCATTAGAATTGCTAGCATAAACAACAGCTGGCAAATTATATGAGAAATTAGAAGGGGTGAATTGAATGTTGGAAAGAAAAGAACTGAAAGTTTTCAGTATAAAACTGTAACATTAAATTTATTGGAAGTGAGAATCACATCAAAGATGAGATAGGCAAGATTAAAAGAGAACAATTAAAGAAGGGAATACTGCAGGCAAGCTTTTCTTTGGAAATGCATCTGAGGTCACACTGAGAATAAAGAGGCCAGGAAAAGAGGTCAAGACAGACAGGCTTGCCTATAACTAATTCTGCTTACAAATAAGTCAGTTCCTATGCATATACATTTCTAATTTCAGGGCTTCCAGACTAGCAGCTTTTACAAAATCATTAATCTCTCATTAAATATTTCACCTTTTTAGAAGGTTAGAAAGCAGTAGCTGTTATATTTTAAAAAATCAAACAACTAATGTGAGTAAGTATATTTCAAAAAATCAAACAACTAATCAACTAACTCTGTGAGTAAGGAAACTTATGAAACTTGCTTTCAGCTGGTTCTCTGAGTTACCCCATATTAACGAGATGCAAGGTCTACCTAATCAGCTTTTGCAACAGCAGCATTCACAGCTCGCTATCATATTAGTTCTCCAGAGGCTAATGACATAAAGTGCTACAAATAATTTATTAGGGTTAAATAATTTCCTATCAAAGAAATTTTCAAAGTTCTCACATCTACATGAGGAAGTAAAACTGCATTAGGCTCCACTGTAGACAGCTTACTGCAGGCTGTAGCTCAAGCTATGATCATAAAAGCAAAATAGCTGGCATATAATGAATGGAACGAAAACAATATGGATTCCTCTCTTACGTCTTCTACATATCTCAGTTATGTGGGCCTTGTCTGAACAACTGCTGTATTCATATTCCCAGATCATTGATAAATGTACTAAAAAGTATACAACATCCTAAATGAGAAAGAATAATACATATTAGCAAGTATTCAGCAAATACCAATGAAAACTGACCAAAGATTCACTTAAACTTACACAAATAACGTTTAATGCAGAAACAGGATAAATTATAATGTAATAATGGTATGCAATTACCATACCATACAGGTCGAGGGAGGTTCTCCTCCCCCTGTACTCTGCCCTGGTGAGGCCATATCTGGAGTCCTGTGTCCAGTTTTGGGCCCCCCAGTTCAAGAGGGACAGGGGAGAGTCCAGCAGAGGTCTATGAAGATTATCAGGGGACTGGAGCACCTCTCTTCTGAGGAAAGGCTGAGAGACCTGGCTCTGTTTAGCCTGAAGAAGAGAAGACTGAGAGGGGACCTTATCAATGCTTATAAATATCTAAAGGGTTGGTGTCAAGAGGATGGGGCCAGGCTCTTTTCAGTGGTGCCCAGTAACAGGACAAGGGGCAACGGGTGCAAGCTGGAGCACAGGAGGTTTCACATTAACATAAACCAAAACTTTTTCACTGTGAGGGTGGCAGAGCACTGGAACAGGCTGCTCAGGGAGGTTGTGGAGTCTCCTTCTCTGGAGATATTCAAAACCCGCCTGGACGTGTTCCTGTGCAACCTGCTGTAGGTGAACCTGCTTTAGCAGGGGGGTTGAACTAGATGATCTCCAGAGGTCCCTTCCAACCTCCACCATTCTGTGATTCTGTATTCATAGCTAGTGATTTAGAGACATAAGAGAATATATACTTGTCTTTTTTGTCTCACAGCAGATACTAAGTGTAATTCAGTGAAGATAAATGTCATCAGTTCAAAGAAATGCAAAATCTTTTCCAGCTGACATTTAATTAATACTTAAAGCTGATGAAACAAGGGAGATTCAAAAGTGGGTTTGGACATTAATATAGATATCAAAAATATAAATAATAATATTTCAAATTAGTGTTTTCAAATGGTACTACACTTCAAAGTTGTTAGAAAAATAAGATCAAACATGAAGGACAAGTATTATCGCATTAGTCTACTCTCTGTTTCTGAAACAGTGTGGGACCTTGAGTCAGATTCAAAATAGCAATTTCTATCAACCTTAGCACAGTTTTAGATGTTTCTTACATCCAATTAGTGACAATTCCTGTAGTAAGTAGTAATGTGAATGTAAACATTGAGTGGGTTTATTACATAAACATAGTTGGTCATCTTGGTGACTCTTTATGGTGTTATTTCTTAATTTTGTTGCTACAGTGAGTATTCTTCAGCTACATTAGGAACAGCATTTTAAAAATCAAATGTAATTTCAAGTGGCATTGTTTCAACACAGAGAACGGATTAAGCAACACTGACAAATTTAAAGCAGAAATAATGATATCTTACAATAATACCAAAGAGAAAAATCAAAAAGAATTACTTGACCAAGTGCTTGATAAGGATGTCCAGCATCTCTCTGTTCTTCTCTGGTAACTTATGCACAAGTGCATGCACTGCCTCAACTCTGTAGTTCTGATCATCTGACTCTATTAAATAGAAAACAAATATTGCTGACAAATTAGAACATCTGCTAAGATGTGACTACAAATGGCACCAATGCCTGTACTCTAATACACACATGCGTTACAAGGAGCCAAACACAATTAGCCTTTAAAATGATGAGGACAATTTGATTATACTTATTACAACATTCTGAAATCTGTATTTTAAGTAAATCACCGAAAGCAGTTACCAATGATACTGGAACCAACAAAATTAGTGGCAATGATGACCCCATGTGCCACTTCAGTGAAATCTAAGATTTTACTGCTTGATATTTAAAATATGTAAAATCCCTGAGTGTCTTTTACTCTTATTAAGGCAAAAGGAAATAGAGAAATAACTTCAAATACTAAACTGGAGTCGTTAGAAAAACATTCTTAATATCTCTGTATCTAATTATTCAATTTGTGAGAAGGAGATAAGGATCACTCCCTCCAATTTCTCAAGGCAAGTTGGGAAAATAAAGGTCCCTGGATGCGAAGGATGAATGATATTAACGAATTATCAGCCTGTATAAAGCAAACAAACATATAAATCAAGGTTCAAAACTTCAGGCAGAAGGCAGTCACACAGAACCTCTAAGAAGATCAGAAGAAATCACTGAACAGCTTCATCTAGTGTGACTTCTCTTTTTTGGGGGCTTTCATGTCGCACTGTGCTATCGCATAAAGTGACACAGAAGAACTCAGATCCATGGCTGGATCACTGAATAATAGACCAAGGAAAAAAGTAAGGATAATAACTGAGCAGATTAAGGGTTAGAAACAATATCACTTCCATGAAAATTTATTTATTACTTTACTTACTAACAGCAACAATGAAATCTTTGTGCAGCTTGAAAGTCATCAGTGGTTCTGAAAGACACCTGGTTGTAAAAAAAATATTAAAAGGAAATTTTAAAAAAAGCATTAATCAAAGTCTTTTTAAGTTCTATGGGTGTAATTATGATAGCCCTCAGCATCTGTGCAATGTATATTGGTAAGTCCTAGGAAACCAAATTCAGTGGTGACTGATTACAAGTAGTATACAACTGAGTCATGTACATAGTCTGAAAATCTTTGAGTTGAACCTAGTGTCACCATGGAAGTCAGATGTGTTCCTGTGCAACCTACTCTAAGTGGTCCTGCTCTGGCAGGGGGGTTGGACTAGGTGATCTTTTGAGGTCCCTTCCAACCCATAACATTCTGTGATTCTGTAAATAAGGGAAATATTACCAGCACTGACTTCAGCACAGAGACTCACTGTTTTCTGGCTTCCATACTACAGAACAGGAATAAACACAGCTGCCAAACATAGTACAGTGGGCTGCAGAAGCAACCCTTTGCCCAAGAAAGGCAAACCATGATGAAATTTGGGACTGAAATTCTGATCTGAGAGATCCTAGAAGAGTCAACTTCTGAAAGGCAGACTGTGAATTGCTTTATAGACACAAAACCACAGCTACTGCTAGCTCATGTTCTAACTTCACAAACACAGTATCTACAATGATTTTGCTTCTGAAGATGTATTATAAATTTCTTCAACTAAAGAGAGTATTTTTCCAGTGAAATGGATATGACCATTCCAGTATAAACCCTAGGCATACTTTCCAGAGTGAACAGGAATTTCTGATCCTATCCTTTGTTAGGTGACTGGTTTAGGAAATCTAGGTTTTGATAGAGCTCGGACAAAGGTGTGACTCGATCATCTTGAAGGTCTCTTCCAACTGAAACTGTTCTATGATTCCATGATTCACCATCTAGATTTGATGCTTTTTATTGCGTATCTTTTGAATGTTATATACTCAGATCCAAGAAGATAGTTATCTCAGAAGTACCATAACTCTTGAAAATTCTGTCTTTTATTAGCAAAAAATGTAAGAGAAAATTATAGCATGGAAGGGATTTTGTGTTTGTGAAGACACCAACAGCACAGGATAAAAACCTATACTTTTGCAGAGATTTTTATTCTGCTCCAACAATGATGCCATGAAACCTCATGGTACACAGCTTAAGGGATTCAGAAAAGAAAGACTGAGCACAACATACTTTGTGGTTATCATAATAAAAATTAAAAGAAAACATGCAATTACATTCTGACAATTTAGGGCTATATAAGACATGAAATAAGGCAGAAAGTGTGTGACAAATTTCAGATTTATTATTACACACAATCATAGGGATATTAGGCAAGGTAATATATTCAATTACTACCATGCTAATGTATACAAGAAATGTAATATAATATTAATACACAAAAGATTAATGGGCCAGAAAAGGAACACTGAGATTTATGTAGCATCATACTTACCTGAGGTAGTTTTTTAGTCCACTTGTTATTGTTTTATTGTCCCAAACTTCCATATCAATATCCATGTCAGGAGGAGATTTAGGGGCTGGTAGAAATTTGAATTATGATTGTGTTATAGTTTGACTAACATACTAACTGAAAAGCAGCAAAACAGAAGCTAATAGATTAGTCATTCAGCTCATGTGATTACTTATTAGCCAGATTAACTACCAATTTGATCAATTTGAATATTTTAATCTCTGCCAAAGTATTAATAAAAACGAGTTTAGCACTCATATTTAGTACTTGTAAACATTAACTATATGCCTGTATCAAAGTGTGAAGTAAACCCAAGTCAAGAGATAATTACTACTGTATTTGGCTTAGACATTCAAACACAGGCACCAGAGAGCCAAATTATCCAGAAAAGTGAAAGACTAGAACACCTGTCTGTTAAACTGAGTTGTGCTGTGTTACAGAGCTAAGCTTTGGAACCCTTCTGAAATATACCAAATAGATACCGATAAATAGAACTTTAAAGATAAAAAAAGAAATGCATTTTATCAGTAATTTGCTCATGTATATCAATGATTACATGCAGAAATTGAATACTAATGCACACAAGAAACTAGTTAGATGAATCACTCATTTTAAGACTTCAAACTCAATTTAGTGGCAGTAAGTACACATGCAAAATTGTAAATGTTATGACACACTCTTCTGAGCACAGCAGTTAAGGCAAAAGAGACCACAGCACACACACTGAACAAAGGTTCACCTCAGGTACTTACAGAATATGGTATTCATCAGCTTTTGCACCTTGGAGTTTACACCACCTATTCTGTACAGGCCCAGGATTGTAATACCTACGTTGGGAAAACAAGCACAATGAAAATAATGAAAATAAGGTTATTTCAATATATGCTGATGCATCCTTGGTGTATGTTTTCAAAATACCTAAACGTATTTATGGAAAATTGTACAATTACATTCTTGAGTACTGCTTTACCCTACTGTATTCTCTTCTGGGATATTACAAATGCATTCCACTGAATCCACACCATACTATACAGGAATCATAATTTTATATTAACAGATCCCTTTTGCATAGAAATGACCCATATTAGCAAACAACATGGAGATGGCTGGGAAAAGTGAATAATAAGACCCAAAAGCAGTCTCAAAACACATTACAACGTCAACGAGTTTATCTTACCTAGACTTCAGTGGAATTACCACACATCTATATTTGCTTAGATTATCATCCCTTCCAATTCAGATTTGATTGACATTTATAGAAAAAACGATTATACCCAAAATAAAAACATATACTGTATACTGTTACAACACTGCAGTAAAGAATTTATACATTATGCATGGATCTCCATGCAAAACAGAGACAGTCAAATCCCAATTTACCCATAAGTTTCAATTGTTGGTTTTTTTTAAATAGCACAGAAACTGATAAATAATGTTTAAAGTGTGACGTTCACAACAGTATTTCAGTATTCCAGTGATAATAATTTTATTGGTTTTAACTGCCTTTTAACTAATTAAGCAAGATTAAAAGCCTTCCCTTCTCCCCACTTTGTTTGACTTTTTCTTTGAAAACATTTCAAAGTCTGATCTCACTTAGATCACCTAGGTGTTTTGTTGAAACCTTTTTTTTTTTTCCCCCAGAAAAAAAAATGTAAGCTTTGAGTCAGCAGTGATTCAAAAGCTACATAACATTGTTTCCTGAGAAACTGAATTCATGTTGAACTCAATTTTGTACAGAGAGACCGCACAGCTTTTGGATTAAAAGAAAGTTGCACACTGACAGTTCAGTGCATGGACAGGAAAAGGTTACCTCTTTTTAAGGAAGACAATACAGCCATACCACTTCATTTGGAAGGGGATAATTAAAAACTTGCTGTCAGTTGCAAGATATCACCTCATCAGTAGAGTGATTATTATTTTCTTTTTGTACATTCCCACTACCAAAAATGAGTTTCTAAATATTTAAAAAAATGGATAAAACATGCAAAATAAGTGAATAAAATGATAGGAGTTATGGTCTGCAAAAAAGATGTTCCAGCAGATAGTATTCATGCCAATTTTTGGTCTTCGGGTTTCACACCAGAAACCAAAGCTGGCAGCTGAGGCTCCCTAGTTTTACCACGAGAAAGCACAATTCAGTGCACACAAATTAAAGACTAAAGATGTGTGCAACTGTGTATTAAGCTGTATAAACAACATGAAACTACAGAAAATGTTTAAAAAATCTACTTAACTGATACGTTAAGAACTGTTTTTGAAACCTGTGGTAACAGTGATAAGTGTAAAGCACACAGATAAAATGTGAAGAGTACAGACTAAATGATGGACACACTCCAAAGCACAGCTGTAAAACATGTAGAATTAATCAAAGTAATAATTGAGAAAAAACACTCATAATAATCTAATTCATAATTTGTGATTTAATACACACCTCTTGTTTCTACAGCATGAATACATTTCCGCACAAAGTTGAAACCTGCTTCATTTAAGAACACTATAAAAAGAAGAAAAACAGGTAATTCTTTTCTAACTTGTTAATACAGAAAATCTCTGAGTTTAGCTAAATTCATGTTAGTTATGGAGGACGGATACACATTTATCCATGAGATTATGATACTTATTCAGTAATAGTATTCTTGTAGATATATCCTTAGCACTCAAAATCCAACTTTCTAATCATTAGTGTATCATTAGAAACACAATATTCTACTGTCTTTCTCAGAAACCAGTAGCCCCTCTATACATACAGATGAGAGCCTATTGCTTTACAAGGAGATGACTGTACTCCCTTCCCTCTGCTGAGGAAAATGCTTTTAAGAGTTCAGGACCTACATTATGAACAGAATATATTTGTTGGTTTTAATACAACATTCTTTGTTCCTTGCACATGCACATAACTGCTCATAAAATGGTAATAGTGGAAAACAATCTTTGTCATTGATTTTAATTAGTGATCTTATTTCAAGTGAATAGATTTCTCATTAATTTTTGTATCTTCAATGCCCGCTTCTCTGACTGGCTAAATAAATAAGATGTTAAAGCAGCATATTTGTCACCATTAAAATAAACACCATCATATGAAAAACAGACATAGTGGCTTAAATTTTGGATTTCCAGAGTCTCAAATACACCTCCTATAAAGATGTATGTCCATATCTGACACATCTCTCTCTCTGAGACACATAGATCCACAGACATATTTAAATTATTTTTATGTATTTGTATCAATATAATATTATGTTAATAACATATATGTGTTAATATGTTAATATAATTATACACAAAAATCTCCTAGTATCTTTAAATACTAATTTTATTACTCAGTGTATGTGCATATACACCTAAAACCAAAGAGATGCGATGGGATGAGGTGAGCTGTATGAGATTCAATCAGGTCAGGTGCCAGGTCCTGCACTTGGGTCACAAC